TAAGTAATTTTTGAGTGTCTTTTCTGTGTTCAGTTCTGACACAGTTCAGTTCAATAATACGGTTCATGTCTCTTCAGTACAGATGTGAAGGTGTATCACACCTGGTGCAATGCAGATCCGTTCTCTGGTTTTAGGAATGATTTTACTTTATTAGTATATTAGCATGTAAAGGTTATTTTCAATAAAAAGTAACAAATATGATTTGGGGGGTGGGGGTTTCTGGATTTCCTGCTTCTTTTCTGTTGTACTTAAAACGATGACAAAAAACCAAACAGAGCCCCCCACCCCACTCGCCCTTCCAAAAAACCCAACTGCAAACCACCAACTCTTTAAGAATAGGTTAGAAATTGAATCTGACAAATTTTCAGAGGTGTGATAGTGTTTAACGGCAATAAAGACTCCTGTCAGTTAAAAATTCCGATTCTTAGTAAGTGCAGAAATGTTCTTTGTGTGGATAAAATGAGAACTTTTTTCACTTCTTTAAAGTTGTTCTTGTCAATATGTAAATAATTTGTACGGGACTAAAGCTTGGGTGAGGAGAGGCAGCTTGATTCTCTTCACAGTGCATAGCACTTTGAAAGTGCTTTTTGGGGGATGGTGGAGGTGGTGTGGCTCGGAGCAGTCACTCTTCTTGATATCAGAATTGACATAAGTTTGCTAACACATATTTAGCATGTTCAGGGTGTTTCAACTTTGTTTTTCTAAGGCCTGTTACCATACACCTGTATTTATGGTACTGTCTTAAGTTGATTTCCTTAGTTTATACAACATTTGTCCAATTTAACGAGGTTTTGCTTCACCTAGACATCAGTGAGCAATAACAGATGGTGCCAGGTAGCTAGATAGTGGATTTGAGGATTTATTGTGTGAAGTGATATGTTGTGTGTTCCTTCATTGTCCTAAAGATGTCAATTGTAATCCCAAGACTGTTTACTTCTTTTGTTCTGTGTGTGCAGTACAGAGCTGTGGTTCTAGTTCATGCGTGGGTAGAATTTGAGTTTATTTGATGGTACTGTATTAAATATAATGTCTGGTTTATGAGTTTCACTGATTTGATGTTGTTTGCTAATATTTTTTAAAAATTATGAGGTTGACAGTAGTGCTTTGTGAAGATGTGGCTCAGGTTATGAAAAATAGAAGATATTGAATGTAAGGATTGGGGCGGTTGTCATGTAATGCAGTTACTATGGTAAAAAAAACCCTAAGCTGTTTAGTCGAGGGAAAGATAATGTAGTGACGGTGTCAGAGTTCTTGTTATGTCCATGTAGACTTTTTCTGTGCTGCTCTTTAAAACAGAGGGAAAGATCTTTACCTGTGGAGCATGTCCCGTTTCCATACTTAGCTTGATAATGAGAAATACATAGTATTTCTATGTATACATATTATACATTTGTAGTAAGTTACCGCGGTAACACTGCAAATACTGAAGAAAATGAAGGCCCATATTCCTTGTCCGTATGAGTGGGGTTTGTCTGCTTTCTGTTCTGTAAGTTGATAATTGTGATTTGGAAATTGTGGGAAAGAACTGATCTGTGTGATGTGTTTTGGGTGGTTTCTCAGTACATAGCACTCAAAAACTCGGGACGTGGAGCAGGGAAATCCAGGTAAGGACTGTGGTGGGAGAGAAGATGAGGAAGAAGGTGTGGGAAAATTGGATAATGGGGATCAGGTAGCACAGAGCCAAGTAGGAGAGGACAAAGAGTTTGCCTTATTGAACCAGCCTTGTGAATTAGTGTAGTTTTAATGTCATCAGCTTGCTTATTTTGAAACTCTTATTGTGTGGCTCTTTGCTCTAAAACTGCTGAAGTTGAAGTTTTGTTGGTAAAGTAAGGAACGTGCTCACTTTTTCCCAAGTGATACTCAGCTAGGGAAGAGTTGGAAGCTCCACATGAACATTAACTGTACTTTGCATGGTCTGCTTCAGCAGCCTTGAGGAATTGATAATGATGTCCTTGTGTGCAAAATTGGAGGTACTTTTAAAATTGCTTCTTCCATAGTCCATTCACCTATCCCATAATCAGATGCGTTTGGTAAAGGTAGTGTGTTGTTGCAGTGTGCTCCGACAGTTAACTGCAAAAATGGTTCTGTAATGCAGTGAGGTAACTCTTTTACTCCTCCTTACTCTACACTCAATAGTGTATAAAAATGAAGGCTATAAAATATGTACCTTAGACATTTTATAAGTTCATAGTACTACATGCATTTTTATAGGAGTTAAATGGAAATATACAAAGGTGTAATCATGGGTTCAGTGATGTTTTCCCAGTTTCCACTTTTCCCAGAACTGAGCTGAGCAAATACAACAAATCAGAAATAGAGGGGAGGAGCAGCACATGCTGGTGCTGTAACTTAAACACAGGCTGTGAAGCATTACTGTGCAGTGTTTTTACATCTGTATTATCTTTACCTGCTTTCATTGCCTTGCAAAATTAACCAGCAGAGAAATGAAACAATGTTCTCCAGTATGAAGGTTTATGTGTAGTCCAGTGTGTGTGGTGTGTGTGTGTGTGTATGTATGGGCAGTCTTTACTCTGTTGTGCCCTGTTTTATAAATAGGCTGAAAAAGAAATAAAGAAGTCTTGCTGCATGTGGCATGGTTCTCAGTGGAGCTGAATGTGGAAAACACATGCAACCAAAGATGCGGTGTGCTTAGTAGTACCTCCATTAAATGAGCTTTTTCATGGAAACTAACATGGCAGTGACACCATTGTAATTAACGCTATGGTAACAGGGGTTTCCTGTACACAGAGGAAAACTGGCAGTGGTTGCTACATGCAGACCAAGTAGAGCTTTGTTTACTATTATATGTCTGTACAAATAACATTCCTGCCTATTTTGTGACCCTGCTACAGCGTGTCTGTAACTTTGACCTGGAATTGTTTGTGTGCCTTTTAAGAGAGGGTAAAATATATGTATCTTAAATCAAAACTTTGTTAAAAGCTACTTCACAATACCTTCTGCTTTATAACAGAAGTTCCCCTGAATGATTAGAGTGTGATAAATAATTGTACATAACTAATTATTTTGGTGACTACTGCCCCATTTTATGATCTTCTGAATTTGTATCTATTTATTCTCAATTGTTTGAAGTTATAAAGTAATTCTGTATTCTGGGGGAAAATACCGACTTTCTGAACATCAAAGAACATGTTAAAAACATTTACTAATTTAGTGGAGCCCATTTTTATTAACTGGAGTCAAGTGTTTTGTTAGTAGACTTCTAGGCATAGCAATTAGTTGCTTAGGGCAGGGAGAAGATAATACTCTGTTTTGTTCATCCTGTTTGACCTATGATGAGGTCTTAATTTATGACCAGAGCTCTTGGCTGTTGTGGTCATGCAAATACATAAACAAAGTTTGGGATTCATCTCTTCTAATGTCAGTGTATTTGACCTACTTAGCTTAGTTTCCCTTCTTGAGAGAGAAAATAGGCCTGATTCGCCTTAAACTGATCCAATGAATTACTTCCTAGCAGAGCTTATGTCGGTTCCTTTCTCATTGGTGGAGAGCAGGGTGATAAGGTCAGGTGCCAGTGTCCACAAAGTTGCTAGGGTTGAGGTGACCAAACCTGAATTATTTGTCCCTTTAGAATGCCTAAAATAGTACAGTACCAGCTCTTTAAACTTGAATATGCTTTAAAATAAGATAAACTGTGAATTTGGAAGAGTTGCTGTGCAGTTATTATTTAATCCCAACAAAAAGATAGAAAATTCACAGCCCAGTTTGATAGTTCAGGACAAATACACATTGATCCACCAAGATACAGAAAAAACGCAACACAGTTTTGAACTCAGATCTCCAGGAGAATTTATATGGCAGCTTTTAATGTTGTGGTTTTGGTGAAGTTAATAAAAACGGGCATTCCATGTCATCCAGAAAGAAGTAACTTTAAGGATTATTAATATAAGGAAAGAATGGTACCAAATTCATGATGTGCTGGATTCTAATTGCTAACAGTACTATCCGAACATGAGTTTTAATTGATAGCAGTTCTAAATGAACCGATAACAAGCTGAGTTGTCAAAGCTCAGTGTGTATTAGTGCTTTTATTTTTGTCCATGTGTACTTCTCGGAGCAGCGCTGCTCAATAGCATCAAGATAACTTTGTTGGTTGTTATGAATAGCCTGCATTTGTTATTCATTAGCAAAACATGCTAATCGCATACTCAGAAGGTGAAGTAATCATTCATTATTACACTTTTGTATTTTCGTTGAATTGAGTACTTTTATGAATGACCTTGCTGACTGTACTTTCCTTTCTTTTTTTTTCTTTTTTTCCAAAAAAGTTTAACCTAAGTTCCCGAAGTTTTGTGACAGGCTCTGCGGAGGGCTAAGTTGAGTTACTTGGGAGTCCAGCTGTCCCCATCTTTCACATGAAGTTGAAAGGCAGCTGCACATCACTTTGGTCTTGCGGCTCTGGTGGGACTGGTTACTCAATTTGCCACAGAGAGATGGTTCATTTGGCAGTGGTGAGGAGAGCAGTCAGCCAGATAATCTGTGTGCACAGAAAGCTTGGGAAGACTAATGACCAGCCAGTTCAGTGCAGCTCCCTGTGCACTGAATATGAACTCATCACAGCAAGTTACTGGTTTGTGCTTGAGATTTCAGGTGCGACTGGCTGGGTTTGGAAGACCCTGAAGACACATTTAGAAATGACAAGTAACTAATCAGTGAGGAAAGGAAGAGAATGTTTAGTTCAAGGGTACAACATTGAGTTAGGGCACAGTGGTCTAGGTTATGATATTCATGTTGAGCCTCAGCATTTCTCTAGCAGTCCAGCTCTGATCACTGCAGCTGTTTTTTTGGAAAGTGCTGTTGGCAGAGTAAGGGCCTGAGTATCTGTCGTACTGCTCTGCTTGGAAAGAATCCAAACACTTTGTGCTTGGTTTTGAATGTGGCTGTTGTTAGTGGGCTTAACCTTTTGTTGTGAACCTTTCTGTGCTAGTAGGTCATTGTGGTGAGTGCGTGACTGCCCTAACTCTAACTTTGTTTTGTCTTAGTCACATTGATCAAACAACAACATGGCAAGATCCTAGGAAGGCCATGCTTTCCCAGATGAATGTTACAGCTCCCACCAGTCCTTCTGTGCAGCAGAACATCATGAACTCAGCATCAGGTAAGCAAGATTTGTATTTATGAGAAAGATGATACAAATGAAGATACCACTAACTATTTTAATTGTGGGGGAGGGAGTCCAAATCTCACAAATATCCTCCTAATTATCCTGGTTTTAAACTTTTAAATTTATTGATGCCTGATGCATCAAGCAATAGTCTGATACCTCAGGTAAGAGAATTTGTATAATACTTATGTCAGCAGAAAGTATCCTGTAGTTTTTTGGTTTGTGTTTTTATTTTTTTCAAATGGATGATTCAACATTTAAAGAAGCATAATTTTTGTCTAATTTCTTCTGATGGAAAATGCTGTTGAATTGATGCAGACCAGACTTTCCATTAAATTAATGTCAATTTCATTAAAGCTGTTATACTTCTGCAGTATTATTCTGCCTCCCCTTGCTCTCTTACTGTACTTGGTAAACCCCCATTCATTTACATTTCCTATATTTGTTACTAATATCTCATTTTTTCTGTCTTCCCTAAATGAATAAAATGCGCACCTGAACAATCTCCTTTTAGAAGCAGATTTTCCTATCTTATTTTCCTGTCATTTCCAAAATCCCACATCATGATGATTATTCCTGTAGCTGCAGAGGTCTGAGCTCTTTTCCTGACATACAAAATTGTTTTTCAGCTGGTCTGGGGGGGCATCACTGCACAGCAGTAAAATGTGCTTGTTCTTGCTATAGAATCTACTGAATGTTTTCAGAGCTCGCTTGTCCTGGTGGTGCAGAGAGCAAGCAGATGAACGTGGTGCCATGCCAGTTTGACTGCTGCGCTGTTCCCTGTGCTTTGCCTCTGTCTGTCGCCGAGGTTCATGTTTGATATATTTTCTCACAGTCCGATTGTATTTTGTGTATGTTGGCTGTTGCTGTGTTTCACAAAGGTTATTCTCTGATGCTGTTTATGTTGTCTGTTTAGACAGCTTTGTTTCATGCTGCAGTTCATATGCCACAGACAATACAGAAAGATGAACAGGCATTATCATACCATGCTTTTCGTGACTGAATATTAGGGGGGAAGCTGGTCAAACATTTTGCTGGCTCGGCCAGGAGGTTGGGTTATCCTGAACAAATTAGAGTCCTGTTCAAGTTCAGGAAATCATGATTCAGAGCAATTAAGGTCTCAGGCTCTGATGTGAAAATATAGCATCTGAGATTATTTTGTCTGTAAATATATGCCAGGAAACCTGCAGCAAATGGAGGTAACATGTTTTTTTAAGGGACATGCCTGAAGAATGGGGAATGGGAACAGGAAAAAAGAAACAATGCCCTTGGTCTGTCTTGCCTTCTGGCTTATCTTACTTGTGCTAAAACTAGATGCTTGCTGTTTGAATATTGACATAAATTCTGTGTTTTAAGATAACTCCTCGAACCTTCCATTGTACCAAGAATTAACAGGAAAAAATATCGATAGTGAAGTAGGATTCATTTTATGTGCTTAGAAAGAAATGAAGGGTCCTAAGCAAAAAAAAAAAATAACCTGGTTGGTTGTAAGGGGTAAAAATCTGAAAGAGAATCTAGCAATCAGGATTATATTTAAGAGAAAATAAAGAATTTACGTGTAATTTTCTAATGCAAGTGTGTGAGCAAGTGATCCTGCATAGATATTGTTGCTCGTGAAAGAAAGGAGGGCTGAGGCATTTAAGTGGGTTGTCTTGTGACTTGAGAAAGCACTTACTTGAATACAAGTTCATTGAATGTTTATTTTTAATATGGCAGATGATACTATATTGATTATGAACTGAAAATCTTGTGAAGTTTTTTCCCCCCAGTGGTCTGAATTTGATAAAGCGCGTGAAGAAATCAAAACTTCTGAGTATATTGAGTTAGATGCTTACGTGGCGTTGCTTTTTTTTAAAGTTAAATCAGTTGAGGTAGTATGACTTGGAACTGGCTCTTTGGATGCACCTGCTTACTTGTAACTTACTTGCATTTAACAAAAGTCTGTTTTGAATAAAAGAATACTGAACCTGCATTTCTTGTATGTGATTCTGTTTCTGATACCTGATTTGACAAAGCTTTATGTGCTAACTTTAAATTGTGGCCGTGTATTTGTTTTTACTAACATTGCTTATATCTGATTCTATTACTTTTACTACTGAGTTCATGGTAACTTATGCTTCCTTGGTGGCATTGTAAAGAATGACAGAAATGGAAAAATGAAGTAACTATGTATCACTTCAGCACAGTGGAACTTCAGTCTGAGTGCTAATGTTATAAATATGAGACTACTTAATGTTCTAATTAGGATACTCATCCTCAACAACTGGGAAATAAAGTTGAGACCTTTTAAGTCCAGAGTTTCCTGTTATGAAATATTGCTGGCAATGCAATAGTGCTTTGAGAGCCTTTCATGAAAGATACTGGGGAAAAAAAAACTCCAGGTGTAAGTATTGTGACAGCTGAAGGTCACTGACTTGCAAAAAAATGTTCAAAATGCCACATGAGTGTGTTCCTTTCTGTATGGTTCATCCTTGTGTAGTGCTTACTAACTGGAGCCCTTAATCAGAATTACAGGCTGCCATAGGAGCTTGTGAGTAAAGTTGCTGTGGAAAAAAATGTAAGAGAGAAGATTTTTAGGAGCTGTCTTGAAGCCATTGAAGGCTTCCATTGGTTAGAATTAAGAACAGGAAAATGAACGGAAGATGGAGAGAGAGAACAGAAAGCTGCTTTCTGCTTGTTGAAGGTAAACCTGTTGTCTTTTCTGGATAAATAGGATAAGCTCAGGGGAAATGGGCAGAAAGCAAAGCTAGGAGGTGTGGTAAAGATGAAGGCAAATCAGAAGATTTTTTAAAATCAAAACTGGCGTAGGAAAGATGTGGTTTAGCATGAGGTTGAGATTTTTACGTTGTTTTTCTTAAGAAATCCCATCTCTTGAGATGGCTTAGACTGGATGAGAATCCAAGTGTGTTGCTGCAAATCATATTTCTTTAAGGAAATCAATAGGCATCTGAACTAGCTTCATCTGTCCTGGGCATGATTTTGTGAATGAACCATTTTATGAGTGTAAGTATTCATCCTTTGCAGGAGGGCATCGGTATGTGAAAAGTGAGGATCCCCCTCCCACCACCTCCCTGCCCCATTTTGGTTCTTTGATACTTTTTGTCTCAGTCTCGCTGAACTTGGCTTGCTACCTGTAATGAACTAAAATGGTTTGGGCCACATGTATGCAGAGAAACACAGAGAAATATCTTCTTGATGGCTTTTGTTGGTTAATCTCCTGTGAAATAGGATTGCATCTTCACATCGATAATGGAAAGAAAACAAGCCCGTTACTTCTAAATATGCAACATATATATAAAAATTAGTCTTGACTCTTCTGATTTTGTGTGTGTGTGTTTCTAACCACTTTTTCCCTAAAGGTATCACAGTGAAAATTACGTTCTTATGCCTTGATTTAAAAACAAGAAGTTAGTAATAACGGTACGTTGTTCTTTTGAGGAACCTGTCCTATACATTTCTTACTGAGGTAAAGTTATAAATTAGAAAGTAAACAATACCTGTTTGTTATGCAATTACAGTTGATTTAACAGAGGTGGCTTAATTGTATTTATATACTTCCATTCTTCAGCCACTTCTACTTTCTGAATCATGCTTGACAGCACTGCTTACTTTAGCCTCTTCTGCTTGCGCACAGACATAAGATAATTGCCTCTGGAGCACGTTACCTGTCTTTGTCCTTTTTCTTCTTCCCTTTCACATTGCAGTTTTGAATTGGGCTTCCCCGTGAAAGTCTGCAGAACTGGTGTAATTCCCTCGCCTCTTGGGTGAGGCTGTGTGAAGGGTTGGGAGGAAAACGGATACTTGAATTCATAACTCTTGAGGGTTCTTCCCCCATTGGGGGAGAGAGGGTAGGAAGGAATATGCCAATAACTAAACCAAATTCTAGCTCTTTTCTTAGATTCTTGCTCACTTCAGTTGCAGATTTCTGTTCTATGTAACCAGCCATACTACAAATTCTGCTTTGTGTGCAGTCAACACTACACATGATCTGTTGTGAAACCTGAGCTTCTAAGTAATGAACAGAGTTTCTAAGCATGACAGTAATGTCTGTTTCTTTCTTCATCTGCAAAATAATGCCCCCTTTTTAATAGTGTCTTTTTGTGAGTTTTACCGATTTGACAGAATAACGGTGGACTTTGATGTAATTTTTAGAAGTTTTGGAATCACAGTGACAGTGACCAAAGGGAAACATTTCAGCTTTCACAAAGAGAGATTACGGAGGTTCTTGGAGATCAGTGTTTGTGTTAGGCGAAGGGGGTTCCTGCTGTTGAACACAGGGGTTCCAGTTTCTAGGTTGTCCATGCATATGCTTTTAATATATAGTTACATATGCCCTCTAATATGCATGTGTGATAAAATACAGCTTTATTTACATTTAGTTTTACAATTATGTGTCGGAAACTGTAGGGACTTGCAAGATTTAATTTGTATTTCAAGATAGCTTGAATCTGTACTACATTTTTGCTTTTGTTACTCTTTCTGTTGCTTTCTATCTGCCAGCAGTGAGCTCTGCTTTGCATTCAAGACTGCAAAAATGGTATCTTAAGAAAGTAAAAACTCAGAAAAAATGGAGACATGCACACAGACTTTTAACATTACATGTATTTATGTTAAGTTACAACATTATATAAATATTTAGTTAACAGAGGTATGCCTTATCAGTAGTTCTGTAAGGATGGCTTATATTTGGAAATTGGAATCTAATTTCTGGATAACCTTGTCTTTAAAAGCACCACAGTAAATGGTGAGCTCCCTGGAAGGGTTGTCTCTCCCTGTGCAAATAATTTCAGAGAACTCTGAGCTTATGGTAGTGATTGTGTTCAATCGACCTAGGAGGCATCATCCAGAAGTAGTAGGGACCATGCCACAGGGATCCTGTTGGCGCTAAATGTTTACAGAGGTTCAAAGGGAGACTGGAAAAGTGCTTGAAAGAGCGGTCCTTTGGAACCAAGGAAGACGACAGAATCTGGCTCAAGGAATTGCCTCAGGTACTTGGAGACCAAGTGACTTTTCATAGCCATTATACTTTTTGTGTCCATGTGTGTATTCAGTGCTTTATTTAACAGTTTACAGAGTCTGACAGTCACTAAACAGGCTGCTTTTGGCAATGAGATTTGTCCATCACCCCAGGCTTGGTGCTTGAGCTAAATGGACTTTTGGTTAGACCCAGCATGGGTTTGTACAACATGGGCTACCGCAACCACAGAACTTTTAGTGAGGACATATGAAGAGCAGCAATATAGAGCTTATATAACTTAGGTCACTTAAAAACAAGCTAATGCTGATATTTCTGTTTCTGTTGAGCCTTCTGGGAGAACAGGGATGTGTAATTGCAGAGGAATTTTCCTAGATGCTCTGAGTGAATGTGTCTGCTGGTCTTTGCTATAGTTTTCCATTTTTCCTCTGTTACTTGCCTCTAATACAGAGTTCGTTAGCCACCCAGTTAAAAAAATCAGACTTGACAGTCTTCTGGTTTCACAGCTGCTCACAAAACCAAACAGGAATTATGGAAAGCAGTACTAATCCATTTTTGAAGTGCAGTTTCAACATGTAGGGATGACAGCAGAAACAAGATAGCAGTTTACCGCCGAAGGAAGAAAACACATCATGGCCAGTGCCAGAAGTTTCTAGAGAGAAAAGTTCTCTTTCTGCAGCCATTGATGGCATTTAGCAAGGAAGACTTGCTGCTGTGACAGCCAAGTGAGCAGCCAGACCTTGCCTCTCCTGTCCACAGTTGTGCATTTTACTTAGAGAACTTTGCCCAGGTTTGTCTCTAGTAAGCTGGTACTCATCAGATCACCAAATGGAATAAGCAGTATTCATTCACCAGGTAGGTGGACTGATCAGCTCCTGGCATCCAGCTTCAAAGGCATTTTGTTCTTAAAAACCGTGGAGGAACATGCTGGACCAGTGTATGCTTTACTCAATGTTCA